AAATAGCAGAACTTGCGCTTTGCGTTCCGCTTTGAAGGCTGTTCTATTAGTGTATGTTTAGTGTTCGCATATGACAACCAATCTGTAGGCTTATTTGTTAGTTAGCTGCATGTGAACAAAGACTGTAGTAGTTACCTAATCAGGTACAAAGTAAGTTCTTTTAGCACATGAATTTTAATTTAAAAATTAACGCGGAAAAACTCTCGTAACTCCGCCACCATATGGCATTACAGGAGTCCTAAAAATTATCAAGACGGCTAAAAAATGATGGTAGTGGCATGTTTTTCTTATGGTTTTGTTTTTACTCATTTACTCCAGCAGCTCAATTCATATATTTTTTGTAACTTTTAGGTAATCAGGTTTTAAATTATAATTCTTTGCCTAAGACATAAGTTTCATAATAGGTTTCCACTGGTTTGTTGATTGTTACTCAAATTATTTTAATTATTGCACATAACTGGTAGATTAATTAATCATTCTTTATTATATTTTTTGTTAATAATATTTACGTTTATATATCTTTATTTAAGGGTATTAGTGTTCTGTGATTTATACTAACAGTGAACGGCAGGGTCGGGAAGGGACGCCCTAGACGAAGGTTTATCGACCAAATCGGCGATACATTAAAAATGGGCCAGATTAGGAGTACCCATGGCCGACGAGCGTGTATGCGTAGACATATGGATGTAAAAGAGGCGAGAGAGGTGTGTCAGGATCGCGCCAAATGGAAGTCCGTAGTCTCTGCCTACCCCTGTGGGTGACAGGCGTGAGTGTTTATGTTTATATTGACAGTTATTACCTGTTGTCAGATTTCTTTCTTATTTTTTATTAGATTGGTAAAGGCATCTTAACCCATACTGCCTAGTCTGACGTTTACAGTTTCAAAATGTCTTACAATTTATTGGCGTCAGACTGCAAGTTTTTTGTAATTTTAATTTTTAAACTGATTGTTTTATTTCTTTAAGTTGTTGTTTTGTTATATGCTTTGTCTTTCATGCTGCTGGTGGTTGTAATAGTATAGGTACCTTTCGATCTTTATTTATATATATTTTTTTTATTTTTCTTTTTTAGTGTATATAAGAATTTATTTTATATTATAATTTAGTATTTATGACCTCCTCAAACATTTGTAACGATAGTGATTTGTTTCTATCGTTGTCTTCGGACGATGAGACACTTAGTGGTGATAGGTATCACAGTAGAACTGCTTCTCCTTCACTCAACAGCATCTTAAATTATTTTTTCTCAGACTGTGTGAATAACTTTAATGCTATTCATATTAACGCCCAAAGCATTCCGGCTCATTATCCTGACATGCTTGCGTCATTTGAATCCCAAAATATTCACGCCATTTTAGTTTCAGAATCTTGGCTAAAACCCTGTCTGCCTTCCACTTCTTATTCTTTGCCTGGGTTTCATCTAATTAGAAATAATCGCACTAATAGGGGTGGTGGGGGCGTGGCGATCTATCTAAAATCCTACCTTCCATTTAAAATTGTTAGTTCGTCAAGTCAAACAACTCCTGTTGATTCTGCTGAGCATTTGCTGGTTGAGGTCTCCCTGTCTCAGAATAAAATCCTACTTGGAGTTTTCTACAGTCCTTCCCTTTCTATAAATTATTTTACTTCTTTCGAATCTCTTTTAGAATCACTAGTCCCTACGTATAGTCACACTATTTTGATGGGTGACTTTAACACCTGTTTGCTTAAAGGCGACAATCGATCTATAAAACTTGAAGCTATAATTGAAGCGTGTAATATGAAAATCCTACCCCTTTCTGCTACTCATAACTTTCCTAACAGTACTCCTTCCCTTCTTGACTAAATAATGGTGTCATCTTCCAATTTAGTTTTCAAGCACGGACAGTGTCCTGCTGATGCATTCTCTTATGACGATTTAATTTTTCTTTCGTATAAACTACGCCCTTCTAAAATCAAACCTAAATTAGTTCTGCGACGTAATTTTGGAGGAATGAATATTGAACAACTTTGTGAAGATGCTTATAATATTGACTGGTCAGTGATCGAGAGAGCTCCATGCATTGACGATAAAGTGGAACTGTTCTGTTCTCTTCTCACTCAGCTTTATGACGTTCACGCGCCAATGCATTATGTGAGACTTAAACACCTACCTGCTCCATGGCTCTCTGATGATCTGAAAAAGCTTATTTTGCAGAAGAATGCGGCATTGTCAAAGCTTAAGAGGAATAAAACAGAGGAAAACGTTAGGAAATACGCCAGAATCAGGAATCGATGCAACACATAATGTAGAGATGCGCAACGACGCCATATTCATACATCAGTCGAGAACGGCGACTCATCTAGGGTGTGGAAGTTTCTCAAAACAGTTGGAGTTGGTAGAACATCCCTAAATGCTTCACCTCCTAGTGTAGATTTTGAACTATTAAATCAACATTTTTCTAATCCTTCTAACTCTTTTGATAGCGAACATAAACTGCAAACACTTCGTTCGCTTTCTGTAACTCCGACTCCTAATTATCCTCCGTTCGTTTTTAGTCAGTTTACTGAATGTGATGTTAAGAAGACCATATTATCCATCTCCTCAAATGCTGCCGGTAGCGACAACATTAGCCGTAATATGATTGTTCCTCTCCTTGATGTTATTACTCCCATTATCACTTATTTACTCAATGCTTGTGTCTCTTCCTCTAAATTCCCTCAAGCCTGGAAGAGTGCTCATATTATACCCCTTCCAAAGAGATCTAATCCCGTCAACCTCTCTGATTTCCGTCCCATCTCGATCTTACCTTTCCTTTCTAAAGTCCTTGAAAAACTTATTTGCCAACAGCTGACCCTTTTCCTTAATAAGCACAATTTATTGAATTCCTTATAATCCGGTTTCCGTCATGGTCATAGTACGGCTACTGCCCTAATCAAAGTTACTGATGACATACGGTGGGGTATGGATAATAAACAACTCACAGTCATGACCTTGCTGGATTTCAGTAATGCGTTCAATACTGTTGACTTCGATATACTGTTGAGTCTGTTGTGTTCCCTTAACATATCTCCATCAGTAATTGACTGGTTTCAAAGTTATCTCTGTGGCCGTCGGCAGTGTATTCGTGTCGATGAAACTCACTCATCTTGGTGTGATATTACTGCAGGCGTGCCGCAGGGCGGCGTGTTGTCACCTTTACTCTTTTCCATTTTCATTAATTCAATCACTCATAAAATATCTTCTCTCTACCACGTGTATGCGGATGATGTCCAGATTTACACCCAGTCAACTCTTGAGAATTTGCCGAATGCAATCGCTACATTAAATAGGGATCTAAATTTTATTCACGAGTGGAGTAAATCATATGGCCTAAATGTTAATCCTAAAAAGTCTCAGGCTATCATTATTGGTAGCCAGAGCTTTATCTCAAGAATTGACTGGTTCTCTGTACCACCTATCGTATTCGATGGAGTTGTTATCCCTTACTTTGACAATGTCAAAAATCTTGGTATTTATATGGATAATTCCTTAAATTGGATACGCCAACTGAATGAGGTAAGTAAGAAAACTTTTGTCGCTCTTTGTTCACTGCGTCGCCTTCGATCATTTCTTCCCATTCCTACAAAAATTATGCTCGCACAGTCTCTTCTCCTTCCGATTCTCGACTATGCTGACGCAAGCTATGTAGACATAACTGAGGACCAGCTAAATAAGCTTGAGAGACTTCAAAATACTAGTATTCGGTTCATATTTGGATTGCGCAAATTTGACCATATTTCCCAATTTCGCTCACGTCTCAAGTGGTTACCTATCCGACTTCGCCGGAACATGCATATACTTTCTATTCTGTACTATGTATTATTTCACCCTTCTACTCCTCCCTATCTAAAGGAGAAGTTTAATTTTGTGGGGCTTCCGGGGGAACCTTTACGCTCTTCTAGAAAATTCATTTTAAGTGTGCCAAATCACAATACATCATTTTTCAATAAATCTTTTACTGTCCAGTCTATTAAGCTTTGGAATACCCTACCTCTACATATACGTGAGGCACAAACTATTATTATCTTTAAGCGGTTACTTAAAGAGCATTACTTGTCTCAGTCGTTCGGACACAGTTAGGATAGATTGTGTGATTATGTATTTATTGTATCTATCGGCCTTATATTGTTGTTTGAGGAATTTTGTATATATATATATATATATATATATATATATATATATATATATATATATATATATATATATATATATATATATGTGTGTATATGTATGTATACGTATACAAAGTGACGATGAAGTTATCACGTTAAATGAAAAGACGTATTCTATACAAAGTTCTTTAAACATACGCAACTAAAAAAATATATAACAATTAACATTCTGGGCGCGGTAGCCTTTTTTTGTTTTAATATTAAACAACATCATGTAAATGCATCAGATATCACCTGATAAATACTAGAAGTTCAAAGACCCATGGCCCGTGAAGGCCAAGAGACCTATATTGTATTATAGTGCAACGTTGCCAATTTTAAATAATCAAATAAAGTAATAAATTAAGCAAAAAATGTACTTATATGTAACAAAATAAGGCATAATTCTTATGCGCGATGCGACAAGAATTGGGACGGGGTGTTGGGAGGGTGGGATGTGGTCGATTGGCGCGTGCGACGATAAAGTAAGACAGTAAGTCACTTAGTCCGACGCCGGCGTCCTTGGGAACGGTTCATTAATCGCTTGACCTAATTTTAGTTTTTCGCGTACACGTCCTTTTAATTTAAAGTTTTTTTTTGTGGATATTTTCATAAGTTTCTTGATTTGTTTGTGATAGGACACGTTAATACTATAATAATAATTGTGTTGAGGAGGTGGTGTGACTATTTGTGCGAAATTTGACGCTTTCTTTTACTGTCTTGTATTTTTTATTTGTGATAGGACTCGTTAATAATAGATAAGTGATATTTAATAACTTAGTGGTGTGTCAGCCCGTGCGCAATTGGACGCTTTTATTTTTTTAAACGTATAACTTTTTTTATTTTAAAATGCCTCGTATCAATTTTACGTCATTGGAATACACCGATATGGTTTTAATTTATGGAGAATGCCACCAAAACGCGTCCCTGGCATTACGAACATACCGAGAGAGGTATAATACCACACGTGTATGTCCTACAGACTCACGGATTTTTATACGGGCCGTCCAAAGATTACGTGACGGCGAAAATTTGATTCCACGTCAGGTTGAAATTCCTCCGCGAGTCGCCGTGGCTCAGGAAGAACGAATATTAAATTATTTCGCTCGTAATCCAACATCAAGTCTCCGTAGAGCAGCTCGCCAATTCTGTGTACACCACAAGTCTGTTCACAGAATATTAAAAAAAAACAAGCAACGGCCGTTCAAATACGTAAAGGTACAGGCTTTATTAGATAGAGATAAGCCAGTTAGGGAAGCCTACTGTGAATGGCTCCTGAGCAAAGTAGCTAATGACTCTAACTTTTTAGCAAACGTAATGTGGACTGACGAGAGCACATTCACGCGTAACGGAATATGGAATCGGCAGAACTTACGATACTGGAGTCAAGAAGTGGCGGATTACGTTGATGGACTATCGTTGGGGGCCAATAGCCGGTTATGGTACCAGCTTGATGGAGCACTTTCTCATTCAGTGGTGGCTGCCAGGCAGCGCCTCACTGAGATGTTCGGAGAGAACTGGATTGGCAGATACGGACCTTCTCGGTGGCCAGCACGGTCTCCGGATCTAACACCGTTAGATTTCTTTTTATGGGGTTACATAAAAAATGAGGTGTACTCTACTGAAGTAACGACTGTCGAGGACTTAAAAATAAGAATAATGCGGACTTTCGACAAAATAAAAAATTTTGCAGCCAATGGTGCCCTCTTTCGAAAAGTCCGAAATAATATCATGCGACGATGTCAATTATGCATTCGGGTACACGGCGGACATTTTGAAAATTTAAAAATTTGATTTGTTTCATAAACTTGAGTGATTTCAAGGTTAAAGTGATTATTTGGATAAAAAAATACCATGAAATTTGTGATTTGTTGATAACATCGGATTAGCATCGCCCTACGCGTGCCTAATTACCTATGTATGGGCAAGTCCTAGGACCTAGGTATTATAATATAATTACCTATATCGATGTCGCATGAGCAATGAACCGCTGGCCGCGACGTTGCCGCTTCTACAAGTCATTTCAGGTCAGTTAAGTAATATTATCAAGGATGATTTATTTTATGTGATTTTTTACCCTATTTATTTTGTTTGAAAGATGCATTTATTATTAGTTTTTATTATTGTTTATTTTATTATTTTAACAGACATATATCAACTTGTATTAACTGTTGTGCTATTTAACGTGATAACCTGGGCGCCACCCAGTATATATGTATGTATATGTGTATGTACATGTATATATTATATGTTTTCCTTTATCTTTTATTATGTGTTAGTAATTTATATTATTTCATGTATTACTTAGTTATTTATATCTTTTTTTTGCATTTATTATTTGTATATTTATATAGCACCACCTACCACCTACCTATATTGTTTGTATTACTTTACACCTTTGGTTGCCTGGAGGAGATCGCTATGTAGCGATAAGGCCGCCAAATTGTACATATTATAATCTGATTTTTGTTATGTCATTTGTAAATTTGTTCGTGGTGTACAATAAAAGTATATTCATTCATTCATTCATTCAAATTTTGTTTTTACGCCAATATTGTCTTAGACCGAGATTTAAACATATAAACTATCTCACAAGTTAATCCGATCAATAAGTCAGGTAAATTTGTTTTCTTAAACGAACGTTAAGCAAACACAAAATGAAGCGCAATCGAGAATAAATTGACGTCGCAGTCCATGTCTCGGCCGATCATTACAGTAATTACATCGATGTGTCTCGATTAGAACAGTTGTTTATTTAATGATACATAAATTGCCTTCTTGATTGTGTTTTGTCTCTAGCAATTTTAAGAATAATGTCGTCCAGAACAAATTTAGAAAACTCTGAGTTATTACTATGCGAAGTCTCAGAAAGTCACAGGGGGATATTTACAATAGTTGCCACGGTTGGCAGACGCGTTGGCAGACGCAGTTTATTATTATTTAGTTATTATTAGAGGAAAGTCGCTGCACATCTCCTGCTATCTTTCTCTGTTCGCCTTTACTGATGTTGTAACGAGACGATGTGGGGTAGTGAATCACCGCCACCATTTTGTCGTATTCGTTTTAATAGTTATATTAAAACTTTCATGTTTTATTTTGGCGACCTTAGAAGAAATGTCATCTATAGCTTGTGATAGCAGATTCTCGATTACTTGGTGTCAGTTATTTATTCATGAGACAATGTATACGCTATTACAACAAAGTCCCACAAAATATACGAAAATGTCCCAAGTTTAAATATTTCATTAAATAAAAACCGTACCTTTTAAAATAGTTATTATACAATAAATTAATACATGGATGATAGTAAAATTAACAATTAAATGGGAATTAGGTGGTCGCTTGAAGGCTGTTCCTTAATTAAGTTTTGTAAACAGTTTGTGAAATCTATGATTTATTGAAAGTTTTTACTTTGAACCAAAAAAAATTTTCTCGCTATTTCTTCCCAGGACAAAGGTTTTTGTTCTGAAATAGTGGTAATTGTAAATAAAAATCTTTTAAAATTATTAATAAAAATTACTTGTTATCTATCTGCACATTCTATTCTGCACCTTCTTCTTTTTTAATAGAGTCAAAAAACGATAGAATTATTTGAGTTTTAATGTGAATTTTAGTAAGAATATTCACAGTGCCGTGTCGAATCACATTTCACCCTATAAGTGCGGTAAGTAGCGACTATAGGAAATCCATCAAGAATATAATAAATGTAATATTAAGTTGCTAAAGTAGATGTCGTCCTGAAAGTAATTTTCTTTTAGATTCGTAAAACTAAAATAGAAATAAATTAGTGTAATACAATGAGATAGGAAATATAATGTAAATATGTAAGTGATAGCCAGACCTGCGAAGGTTTTCTAAATGTTGTGTAAATAGTGGAATGTTTCGTATAGAGTCAGTACAATTACAGGCTATGACGTATTAAACCTAGATCGTCAGAGGTCACATATAATGTAGCACTTGTTTTTAGAATTTGGCTGCAAATGTTACTGGACTTCTGCACGTGAAATTGGAGGCCGTGGAGGCAGGCGTGCCATGTCTTCTGGTGCGCCTTACCTGAAAAGGAGACGTGGTAGGAGTAGTCCTCTCTCGAGGAGGAGCCGCTATGAGGCGGCCGGTGCTAGTGGGGCCGCGAATTTGTGCAAAAGCGTTCCCGTGGCCCTGCCAATATGTGACAAAGGTGGAACGCCATGGTGTTTTAGTCGGTGTGAGTTCGACATAACCCGTCCTTGCCCTCGCGAACCAGGTATGCGTAGGTATTTTCCCATGTAAGAAAAAGGCGTCCATGGACAGCAGTAGCCATTTACTATAGTGCAATAAATTTTATGAAAAAATCTGCTGCGTTTTATTTAGTAGCGTACTTTTTAAGGTTCCGTAGCCGAATGGCAAAAAAAGGAACCCTTATAGATTCGTCATGTCTGTCTGTCTGTCTGTTCATCCGTATGTCACAACGCCAGTTATTTCCGAAACTATAAGAACTATGCTGTTGAGACTTGGTAAGTAGATGTATTCTGTGAACCGCATTAAGATTTGCACACAAAAATAGAAAAAAAAAAACAATAAATTTTGGGGGTTCACCATACTTAGAACTGAAACTCAAAAAATTTTTTTCATCAAACTAATACGTGTGGGGTATCTATGGATAGGTCTTTAAAAATAATATTGAGGTTTTTAATATCATTTTTATATAAACTGAATAGTTTGCGCGAAAGACGCAAACAAACAACACTAAAAATTGGCAAACTAAAAAACTTTGATACAAACTTAAACAATATATGATGTACCATGTAAACTTCCACCGAAAATTGGTTTGGACGAGATCTAGTAAGTCGTTTTTTTAATACGTCATAAATCGTAAATTAAAGAATTATTATATTTATTATTTTTAATAAAAGTTACTTGCTGCTACGGAACCCTTCATGGGCGAGCCCGACTCGCACTTGGCCGCTTTTTTATATAGAATAAGGATAATACAAGGGGCACAGCGCATCTCGATTAAGAATCAAAATGCAGATTCGTCGTGACCCCTGAGGACTAAGATGGAAAGATTTGTTTTCACTTAAAAGGGTATCCGGTACTATACGCTTAACATACAAAAACAGCAACATTGTGCTACTATTTCGATTTTGCATTTTGTGAAAGCGTGGTTCTTCCCCATTCGAGTGGACCGATTCGTGCTACAACCATAAATTTGCTGCAGCATGACTCTAATACCTATAGACTTTTTTTTGATATAATATAAACCTCAATTTGTAGACTGTATTTTTAAGCAAGTTCACTGATATCTCTAAAACGGTTGAACCAATTGAAAAGACTTTTTAAACCAGACTATACTTCACGTGTGACATTCTTCATATGTGAAGACAAATTCTACTCCTAATTGTAGCAAAGTAGCGTGAAATGTTTACTCTATCTGTTTTTGAATGACATTTCAGTTGTTAGGCTACAAAGAGACATTTCAGTTGTTAGGCTGTTAGGTTGGGGTGCGAAGTCAGAAGTCCTCCACGTGTGCCTGGTAGTTGCGGGTCCCTCTCGATACGTCTGGAGGGAAGAGCAGATACTGGGCCGGTGCACCCTGGGCGCGGCAGTAATCTTCCTCGAGAAATGAGAAGAAATTCTTACTCCTTGGGGAATGGTACTGCCGCGGCTAATTATTCTGACATGGGGGGGGGGCGTCCCGGACCAACGGTGCGTTCCACTGCGTGACCCTATGATCAGCAGAGGGCATAGCAGAGAAGTGAGGGCGGGCTCGGTGTGCACTTACCCTGCCTCCGGGCAGACAGTGAAGGATTCATCCTTTGCTGTCACCGCCGGTCTCGTAATCCCAGTATCGAAGTGTCGTGGATCACGTCTTGCGGCTTTGATAGGGACCGAGGGTCTTGGCTGAACCGCCCGGACCGCGAGGGAGAAAACCTCTATAAAAAGTTACCCCGAATCTCAAGCGGCGACGCACCGCGAGGGGATGGATGGCTGACGGGGTTCTATGAACAAATCAGTCGTTAGTGCGCTCCTCGCCAGGGTACCTGCAGACCCTCTGGCGAGTAATAAATCCTCTAAATCTGCTTACCTTGGTAAGGGGTCTCTGCCAAGGTGGACCTTTAATTCCCTCATACTCGTGGGTACAAAAATGGAAAACAAAGACAAACAAAAAACAAAAACCGCCGGCAACGGCAACGTAGAGGAGAGGAGGAACGATGCGGGGACAGAGTCCGACGCCGCATCGAACAGCGAGGGAGGCTCAGAGAGCTCCCGACAAGTGGAGCCTGAGACCGCGGAGACCAGCAAGTTCTTCCGCAAGCGGTCCAGGCGGGATGGCGACCAGGGGTCGGCATCCGATGAAGAGAAGGTTTCGGCCCGGAAAATCCCCACCAACAGGCGGGGCGGGCTGAGAGGCAAGGGGAGGGAGCTCTCTACCAATCAGAGGGCCGAACGAGCGGCAAAGCTTGCCGAGGAAGGGCGCCACCCGGACGATACGGCTCGGGAATCAGGCGAAGAAACAGATGCGACTGGCGGCTCCGAGGTGGAGCGTAAGGCCAGATTCGTAAAGGAGGTGGAGGCCGCGATCAAGGTCGTGGCCAACAAGCAAAAGTCCTTCTCGAAATTCAAGGCCATTCCCGCGGCCTCCGCCTCCATCATGGCGGCTGCGGAGGCCAACTTTGCTGGGGCTGGGCCTAATGCGGACGAGGTGGCGAAGCTGCGGGCGGACGTGGCCCGCCTGACGTCCGCCATTGAGACTCTCCAGAAGGAGAATGAGAAGCTCCGCGCAGACCTGGCCAGTCTACATGAGCCTGCCTCTC